AACTTTTTTTTTCTAGATAGGGACTACTCACCCTTTCCTGTAATGTATCGACGACGTTTAGGTTATGCAGCTGATTTATAGGCACGTTATGCTGTCGAGAGCGCTCCTGCACGGTTGAGATTCGATGCTTTGGATCGCACTATTGCTAGTAGTACTGTCATACGTATAGATACAAAACACTTTTTGGAACTTACCTGCATGCATCCACCTTCACCACATCTCGAAGCCCGTGAAATTGCCTACCTGCGAAGTGATAGAGGACGGAATGGATCTGCGCACATCTGAGCTGCAGGTCCCGCTCTATCATCATTTGGAGCGACGAGGGTGACTTCAGGCTTGATGGCGGCGACAATGCGCATACGTGGCGTTCTGACGAAAATTGCTTTGATTCAGAGTATGAACTGGTATACATAAAATCAGGCGGAGGCTCGCTTACAATAGCCCGTAAAAGAAGTGGAACTACAGCGTAGGATTCGAGAGATGGTGAAGGCAGATATATGCATTTAGGTTCCAGAAAGGCTGGTGCATCCATACGTACGATACTGCACCAAACCACCTCCGTCTTCTAGCAATTGGGCCATCCAAAGCATCGACCAACTGTGCACGAGCGTTCTCGACACCATGGCGTGCCTTTAAAGGAGGGACAACTTCAGCTGCTTGACCTGAGCGTCATCGAGACATTATAGGAAAGGGTAAACAATTCCTTTACAGATAAAAGGGCTTGCCCGAAAGGTCTACAACGGATGCCATCTTCATCGCGAGGCAAGTGATGGAAAAGTACCGAGAAAAGCGCCGACCCTGCTACCTAGCCTTCCTCGACCTGGAGAAGGCGTTCGACCGACTACCTCGAACAGTACTATGGAGAGCGCTCAGGGAGCGGAATGTGCCAGAACACCTCATCTCTCTGGTGAGGGATATGTACGAAGGAGCCAAGCTATACGCACCCCACACGGCCTAACGAAGGAGGTGGACATCACGGTTGGGGTGCACCAAGGGTCAGCTCTGAGCCCGTTCCTCTTCCTCCTAACACTAGATGTCCTGGTGAAGGGGCTCATGGAGGGACCACTGAAGACTATCCTCTATGCTGACGACGTCGCCTTGATAGCTGATAGTAGAGAGGAACTTCAAGCCAAGGTGCAGAAATGGCAGAAAGTCCTGACAGAAGGTGGGCTACGGCTGAATGTCAAGAAGACCAAGTTCCTGAGCTCCGAAGAGGGTGCAGAGCCGATCGTAGACGGCCATGGTGAGACCATCGAAAGAGTGGAGGACTTCCGATACCTTGGGAGCGATCTGGCAGCCGACGGTAGTGTGGATCAGGCGGTGAAGGCTCGGGTCAACGCTGCATGGATGAAATGGAGGGAGTCCACTGGAATCCTCTGCGATCGAAGGTGCTCCAGAGCGCTCAAAGGGAAGGTGTACCGGACAGTGGTAAGGCCTGCGATGCTCTACGGCAGCGAGTGCTGGCCCCTGAACAAGAATCACGAAAGGCAGCTTCACTCCGCTGAGATGCTGAGATGGGCCTGCGGCTGGACGCGGCTGGACAAGGTTAGAAACGAGGACGTCAGGTCATGCAGACTGCCCCTGTCAATAAAGGTACGAGAACAGCGTCTGCGATGGTATGGGCATGTGCTAAGGAGGCCACAGGACCATCCGATAAGAACAGCGATGGACTTCGAAGTACAAGGCAAGCGACCGCGAGGAGCCCCGAAGAAAAGGTGGAAAGACGTAATCAAGAAGGACCTAGGTGAGGTCGCGGCCACGATGGAAGATGCCCTGGACAGAGCAAAGTGGCGACGGCTGACAAAAACAGCGGACCCTGCGACTGCGCGGGACTAACGCTAGGGAGAAGAAGAAGAAGAAGAAGATATTAAGGGATAGAGCTGGAATGGAAACTCCGTCAAAAGTTTGGGAAGAAAAACGAAGGAAGCTGTTCCAACTGGAGCAATGGTTTCACTGGTATTTCCATACTTAGTGTCAAGGTTTCAGCGACTGCAGGATTGTATCAACAACGTGTATTGACTCCGTTTAATGTTATTAATCATGTGGTCGATTGTTCCGTTGGATTGAATTTACCTGGAATTCGGTCATATTCGAGATTTCCAGCAAAATATGTACATTTTCCATTCTTCATTCTTCCTCACATGAACCAGCGCTCCAATGAAAAAGCTTGGTGCACAAAACATATTACAGTTTGAACAGATTGATGCCACAGAAAAAAGTTATCAACGGAAAGTGCTTCACCGAAAACTTTTGAGCGCTTCTGTTAGTGGGGTCATACAATATGTAACAGCATCACATACAAGTAATTACTCCTCGTGAAGAGACTCGTATAAATGGCGCAATCACAGAAAGTTTTTTTCCAGCATGAAAGCAAATTTTATTGATCTCGACGAGCTGAATTCAACGGTATCTTCAGATTTTGAAAGCTCAGCTTTGAACAAAAAAAACCAACGAAACAACTATAACAAAAAAAGAAAGACAACGCAAAATTGCGTTTTTTTTTCTGCATGTGAATTTGTGAAGTTTTGTGTGAGTACCGTAGTTCATGGCGGCCTCTTGCTGATGGGATGAGAGAAGGACTGTGCGCACTAATGGAAAGCACGCGACGCAGACTAACGTTATCGTTGATCCTACTATCAAGTCACTCCTGTCGTCTCAATGTGTAAAACTGTCTACCCAGAATTTCTCTGCTTCTCGCTAAGTCAGCCAAGCTTCCTCTGCACACTTCGAAGCCAGTTATCAGGAAACCTATCCAAGGTCGATGTCAGACTTTGCGATTTGCGAACGTCTGTGGTCGCGTTGCGCTACCAGCGAATCAAGCGAATCGCCCGAATCGCAAAGTCTGACATCGCCATGAGAGATTACACAATTTGAGTCATATGGGCAGCCGTCGAGCACTGCCACTCAGTTCCTCTTTGAGCCAATAACTAAACCTGAGTTGTTATGTATATTTTTAGTGTTAGCCACCCAGTGAAAAATGTATAGAAAATCCCGTTCGTGCAAAAACACTGTCGGAAAATTAGATCAAATTGAAGAGAAAGTGGACAGCATGATTCCTTCTTACCAGCAAAGTCTTTAAAGACATGGAGCGCTTTTTCGAAAGGTTTGTTGCATGTTATAGGGTCACGTACGCAGATCAGTTTTTCTGAGCGGAACAGGGATTGCCAGGAGAAGATCATGGGATTTTCCTCAAGTGAAACTTTTCCATTTTGTTCGCTGATAAGTTTAGACGGTGAAACTCCAGTTCGGGGGGGCCACTCCATTGCTATCTTATCCGTAGTACTAGAGAGCAGTTCTTTGGGCTATCCAACACTACGGATAAGATAGCAAGTAAACGACTCATTTCAAGCGTACTTTTGATAAGGACCGTGTATGTCCTCCACTGCACACATCCTGCCTGCATCCTATCCACTTTTCTGCACAGGCCATCTACCCTGGAGCTCCTCCACCCCTAGGCCTAGGCAGAGGTTGTCCATTCTCCTGGTCCAGGACGTTTCCTTGGACCATGACAGGCGGAAATTCTGAATTATTTTAGGGTTTATTCCATTACACTGATCTTATCAGATGGTATTTCCGGTCAAATGAGGTCTATAAGGTGTCATGAGCGCTTATTCAATCCTTATCTTGTGTGTTGGAGAACAATGGTGTGCATCCCCCCCCTGAAATGGAGTTTCACCGTTTGGACATATATGGACCCAAGAAAGTGGAAATAAAAGAAATGCAAAAATTTGCCTTTAGTGGGGATCAAACCACAAGCACAAGTCCAACATATTTTTTATCATTCCCAGAGGCGCTCAGAAAAAATTATTCTCATTTTTATGCTTCGTTTTTTTCTGCAAGTTATGGAGACACGCGGTCTCCATAACTTGCAGAAAAAACGCTTTGAAAAAGCGCTCCACGCCCAGAAAGATTTTCCTGGTTAGCTTCAAGCATCTTGCTTAATAGAATACCCTACAGACATCCAACACATTCATTTATACGATACCTCGAAGGATTTTATTCCCAACAGGTTTCAGCTCTCAGTTCCAACAGTTCCTGTTCCTATTCAGCGCTCGCCCTTCCTGCTTATTTTCTTCATACATGAAACCATTTGTCCACCAACTATTGATTCCCATTGCCATTCCGTTGGTGATTTTTCGAGCTGAAGCATCATCGGTCCACGAAAAAGAAGGCGGCTGTTGATCGGCTCACGAGGCAGGCGGCTGCTTGATGCGTCGTTGTGTTTATTCGCCGTCATGATGACGATACTTATGCCCATTATAAACATTATTCATTGACTTCTCGAAGAAGCTTATACGCCTCGAAAAATCTATTCAAACACATCATACATCGAAATCATGTCGAAAAGTAACACAATCCAAACAGGCGTAACAATGAATCAGAGATACGAAAAGATTCGAACATTCAAAATGTGAACGTGAGAAAGACCACTGGAACCGATTGTGTGTACTTTGAAATGTGTCGAGATCGTAGCACCCGTACGAATTAGCTCAGAAAAGCTGAGAGAGAGTGAGCAGTTTAAGAGGTAACTTTGTAGCTGAAAGTCGTCAAACCGAAAGCTGATTTGCGACTAGACTCCCTGGTGGCAGTTATTGTTCCCGTTTTCTGCCTGCAAATATTTCACTAGTCAGACGTAATGTGAGCGAATTGGCAGCTGTGGCATCGGTGGCGGCAATGGCGGTTCATGCCATGATTCTCGTCGAGGAAGCGACTCTTTTTGAGCGGACTCATCATTCTGAAAGTACCTTACTTACTTAGCTTACTGTTATGACTTCTTTGGTGAAGATGCAATAAGGAGGAGAACACAAAAAGGAGTGGATTGAAATGCGTTTCAGAAAGCGCCGTGTTCTCGCTTTCCCTTCAGCATTGCAGAGATTGTCGAATGGTGAATTGGGTTTTTACTGCAACCCGTAAATGCGGATGACTGAATTTTTTCATCTTTTACAATCTCTCAGGCGGTATGATCAAGATGGATGAAATTGAGAGGACAACACCATTACATTTCGTGCACAGGTGGCGACTTTTCCCACATTCAGCCTCGTCTCGCGTCGATCTCCCAATGCAAATCAAATGAGTCTTGGTTTTCTTTTGGATATCTATATGAGCAATCTTTCCAAAGAGCATGTATTTGGTTGGAAAGAAAGTCCTGCAACACTTTTTCAAATTTTTGATTCAAATTTTATCATTTTTGTTTCCAACTTCCATGCCCAAAAGGGGCGGAAGTGGTGTAGTGACAAGTGGCGCGCTTACCACGCGAGCGGTCCGGGATCAAATCCTGGGTCGTGAGTCGCCCGGGCCAACCAAGCCTTCCATCCCTCCGGGGTCGGTTAATTGGTACCAGACTTGTCTGGGAGGATAAAAACACTGACTTGTACATCGGCTGGCCCCCGCAAGTCATTGTATAGGCCACATCGCATTCAAACGCCACTACGAATGTACAAATGGAAGTAGAATGCGTGCCGCATCCCAAAAAGGGATTGATCAACGGCAAATGCTTTATCCTTTATTTTTCCTTCCTCCTGACCGGTCTTATATCTACCATGAGTGTCCACCACTTGTCTTCAACGCTCAGAAAATTTCTTGATGCTCCTTTGCCAAAACCCAGCGGAGTGCGGGTCGAGAAAGGAGGCGACCTCACTTTCGAGTTGGAGTTGATCGTCTAATTATTTCGTCATCAAGATGATGATTTAAGGTCCAGGATAGGTGGCAGTCATTTATAGCTCGACCAGGGGAATGCGGTAAGGTAAGAATCTTGCCGGCGCTTCCATTTCAAGATCATGTGGATTCGGATGTATGAAGAAATAAATATGTCGTGATAACGAGGGCTCCTGACGATGCTCCTCGTCACTTTTAAAGTTCCGCAGCCTAGACCTCCACCTGCACAAATGGTGCCCATAACGAAGAATTTGTAGTGGAACTTCCGTTAAGAGCCCTATCTGTAATGGAGTGTGCGGGACGCTGCGGCTCCATACAAAAATATCAAAAGATCGAAAGCGCTGGTAAAGGTGAAACACAGTAGCGGTGAACGGCATGCTATTCAAGCTGTGGCCCCATAGATGTGGTCTGTGACAGGAATCCATAGTTGCCAGGACATGGAGACATTTGTACTAAACAGTGACTCGGAGTACGGGTTTACTAGGGGTCGAGGTTCTTTTGGGTTTTCTTGTATAACTATTGAATTTTCAGCTCTTGACTGGTCAAGAAATTTAGCAGTTCCTTCGACTGACGTCAGACTGATTCCAACACTACACCCCTCTTTCTAGTGATCAAGGATGAGATGATGGTCCGTAGGTGCTGAGGACTGATTTTAAGTATGCTCCTTCTACGTCTCCTTTCTTAAGTTGAAGTCCACGCCTGTTCTGGGAATGCATGGTTTGTTGTCTGGGCCTTTACCTAGCTTGCCGGGTCCACGAGGGTGGTCGGTTATACCTGTAACTGCCTGATATCACACCATTGCTGCCTCAGTTAGGCCTAGGTCTTCGCAGCCCCTGATGATCATTCCTCCTATGATTTTTGCCTCGAACACATTCACTTCAGGTTTACCTTCTCAGTCATATGGGTACTGCTGGTTCCTTAGATCAGCCTTTCATTGCTTTTTTTTCTTAATAATTGCATTGATTTCGCATACTGGATTCACTGGCGCGTCTCATTTGGACGTATAAATAAATAAATAAATAAATAAATAAATAAATAAATAAATAAATAATACAAAATAACTTACGTATAGCATACATTAATCCACTCGTGATTAAAGCATCCAAAATGCCTAGCCTTTTTCCAGCTCATGAAATGTTTACCGTAACGATTTTTTCATAAAAAAACGAAAATTTAAGAAAGAGTGTTGCAGAACTTTTCTTTCCAACCTAATATATTCAAGGTCGTCGCCGGTGGAGTGATTCTTGTAAGCTCCTCCCTGCCCCAAATGTTTTACCTATTCGGGCCCCTTTCGCATAGGACCTACTTGAAGGTAGAACGCATCACATAAGGTTTTAGCTAATCTTACACAGCACTAATTTCAACCAAAAAGCGATAAGCTATTTCGTTTGTATGTGCAGCGAGAAAGCGCAAGGAAGAAACTTTCACTCAGAGCCGAGCAAAATATCATTTATCCTGTGGACATCGATTTCATGGCGCTTGTGAATGGAAGAAAACCAGACCAAAAAACACTCTTTCATCGCAAATTGTCCATTTCCTTCAACTTCCGCTCCCCAGGTCACTACACAAAGATTGCAGGACAAATTGACAAAAAGCTATGAAAATAGCCCATGACGTGAAAACACCTACACTCTCCCATTCCCCTCGTTCAGAACTCTCGACTTTCTCGTCCAACACCGGCTTGCCACTCCGTCGAAGGAACATCAACCACAACGCTTCCGTCACCTTAAAATTTCCGCATTCCAATATACACCCGATGAAAAAGGTCGGAAGATTGGCACCTTGGCGCAGGTGAGATTGCCAGCATGACTGGCTATCATTTGCAGAAGAAACACTCCATCCGGCCGAAGAAATCGGTCAGTGAATCGTTCCGATTTGATCGGATTCCATATCAAGGTGCTTGGCAACGAAATTTTGACGGCAATGGGCAGATGCGAGTGCACATAACCAGAACAGCAGATTCAAGGCAGTGATTAATCCCAGCACCTGAAATCGATTGGTTACTACTACTAGATTAAACTGTAGGAGATGGGACTTAAGCGTCCCGAAAAAAAAACACATGGATAGGTAGTTAGCAGCTTGATTTGTTACCTGCTTTGAACTACCTTTTACTGATTTTTTTTGGCCGCAGTTAACCAACAAAAACAAATATAAATAAAAATAAAAATATAAACAAGCAAATATCCTTGCAAATATTTCACAGGAATGCTGGGTTATGAACAAAACTTTTACTTCAGGTGAGACTCGCTACAAGTATTATTCCAAATTTCCCATTTACTCGTCTTAGGATTAGAAGTAATGAAAGTTATCGCTGACTTGAACTTCTTTCGGTCTCCTTCACCGTTTAAAAAATCTTCGAGCTGTTGTCTTCAAGGATTTTGCTTGAAAATAGTGGGTCCACCTTATTCTCTTTCCACCGCTAAAAGATTCTCTGAAGCCTCCTAGAAGCAGAGGTGCGCCTCGAGTCCCGCCTGGCACAAAACTTCCTTTAAAGCAACAATCCAGGAACGAATTCGCGGGTAAGGACCACCTATAATGACGTTGCAGGTGAGAAGTTGGTCAATGGAGAAAGAAAAAGTAGAAAAAAACGTCGGGCAGGGGCTTAGACAGGGACTCCCCCTGCCGTTTAGGGAGACGTGTGTTGGACGAGTTGTCCGAACCTGCCCGTAGTACATGCGCTCCAATTGCAACTGCTGGCAAATAGCCATGCATGCTTGCAAATACATAACTATTTGCCAGCAATCGAAATTGAAGCGCGCAATTGCGTTCTTATGGAATCGACCTCATACAGCGCGGCGGTCCCGCAACGACCGCTAGTCGAGCAAGCGCTCTGCACAGCGTATGTTGGAGCGATCCGCCTCGGTATGGGTGATCCGCCCCCTCCAAGAGGACTTCGACCCCTTCCAGCGCATTTTAGAGGTAGGTTTTGAAATTAAAGACATTTCCTATAAACTTTAGTTGGGCTGGGGCATGTTTTGACCGCCTAATGACCAAGTAGTTGAAACCCTGCCTGGACTGTTGCTTTAACTCAGCATTTTTGTGAAAAGGAATAGCGAGTAGTCCATTTCAGAAATCGACAAGAAAAACGTCGATAATCAGTAGCCTGGAACTAATTTCTCCATTATACGAGGCATCCAGTGGATATTGCTGGATAAGATCTCTAGTGCTTCCTTAATGCTACTCCTTTCCGAAATAGAAAGCACACATGAAAACGCTTCCATTATTCGAATGAACATGTTGCGATAGACTCACAGATAGCCAAATCCACACAGGAATATGAAGATCTTCTCGGTGAGCATGTTCACAACAAGAACACACTGAACTGTGTGGCGATGAACATTGCCCAGCACCTGAAAAATTCCTATCTCAAAATTTATCCGTAGATAGAAAGCGCTTTGAAAAACTCACCCTTATTTCGAAGTCGCATAAAGTAACGCGGGGAAACTTTCCCGAATCACGCCATTCTCTTCCCTGGAAGAGTATGAAATTTTACATGATAGTAATCCAGGAACAAATATTACAAAATTGATTTTTTGGATGCAGCTACGCTTTCTGTTTGTAGCAAGGGAAGCTTGTATGGTGATTCACATATGCGTATGGGAATGAGGCGCAATCGTGAGCCCTCTTCACTGATCGCTAGCAGGATCTGCTCCTCGCAGTGGTTTCAAGTATTACTGGGCAAGCCGTGGTGGTACTGGTACGTTACGTTAGGGAGGATGACAATGTTGGCTCCAAAAATGCGAAACCACCACTGCTCTTCAGCTTCGGGAAGAGAACTGTTCGTGGCGCTACCGCAATATACGGGGGCAGTGATGGCAAAGACTCCACAAGTTGCATCACAAACATCTCCCATTTGTTAAAATCAAGACTAAGCCACAGGCGACAGAGGAGAGCCAGCAGAGTGCGTGAGCAATTTTCGTTTTCCCGAAAGTATTGTATCTTCCCCATCCAATGCTTAGTTCTAGAGGATGCCCCCGTATCTTGCGATAGCGCCCTTTTTGCTTTTTAAAGGAAAAAGTAACGTAGTACAAGTAACTATGATATTCTAATTCTTTCATATAGAGTTGAGAGCGTGAAAAGCTTCAAGCGACACATAAGAAATTAAGGATACGCCTGCATCACCTATGCGACAAAAGCACCATCCTTTTCACCAAACATAATGGCCATAATGTAGAAGCACTAAGAACACGCATCTGGTCAGTACCGCAAAGCAAGCAAGGTACACTAAATATTGGGTTGTCCGATAAGTAAATAGTGTCGTTTTTTTTTGAGTGGAAATTTTTCCTCTGCAATTCCAACTTTTCTCATAACGTTCTATGTCGAAAGAGAATTTTCCGCCCTACTAAAATCATTGAATCACCTGTAATCCTTGTGGACTGATTTAATTAGGATAAAGGATAAAGGATAAAGCATTTGCCGTTGATCAATCCCTTTTTGGGATGCGGCACGCATTCTACTTCCATTTGTACATTCGTAGTGGCGTTTGAATGCGATGTGGCCTATACAATGACTTGCGGGGCCAGCCGATGTACAAGTCAGTGTTTTTATCCTCCCAGACAAGTCTGGTACCAATTAACCGACCCCGGAGGGATGGAAGGCTTGGTTGGCCCGGGCGACTCACGACCCAGGATTTGATCCCCGGACCGCTCGCGTGGTGAGCACTTGTCACTACACCACTTCCGCCCTCACATAACCACTTCCGCCCTGATTTAATCAGATGCTTGCAATGTGGGAGATTCAGCAGACAAAAATTATCTGAATCGGCGAACTAGGTTCTACAGAGAGATACCAAACAGTTATGTACCGCTTATTCAGTCAGCTTGACATTCCTCTGCTCTATTGATCAACTACTCCTATCTTTCTCTAATTAAAATTTGATTTCCAGCCAGAACTCACACCCAGCTTCTGAGAGGTTTCCCCAGTCGCGGGGACCCCCGTTAGCGGATCACCTGTGCTAATCTTTTTTGCTGGTTTCATCCATGAATGCATAAATGAGATCAAGATTATGGAGTATTTTTTTGTAGTTGTGATAATCCGTAAAGATAACAAGGCTACCATTCTCTTGACTAACGACGGTGTCTTCTCTTGTTTCAAATTTCTAGGCGTGTCAACTGCCAATTTAAATAAATAAAAATTGATGGTTGACCACTATCTGTAAAATCTAGCAGACGTTTTTGCCGCTGAGACATTGAAAAGCTGACGAAAAAAGAAACTGGGGTTCAGACATAGCTGAGTACGGCATACACCACTGACTGATTATTTGGCCTTTGTGGATGGGCACCCTACTCCCTAAAAATGAAATTCTACAAGAATCACAACGAAATGGGAAGCTAGACATAAGAGCGAATAGGTGAAAAAAGTTTCCGGATGATGCGGGAAATAATGCGAAAACGCGAGGCTTTAAAGTACAAGTTCTCAATTTAAAACCCGTCTTGGTACAGCGGTCGGTCGGAAAAGTAGAACCCAGAAAAGAAATTGGTTATTGTTGGAAAGAGCTCCCGGGGATATTCGATGTTTCAGATACGGTAGATAAACTGTAGTGTAAAGGAAGCCTGATACTCTGTGGTGATACGCAGCCAAGTTGAATGTGCGGGAAAGCAGAATCAACGTGACGAACCAAAGGACCCGAATCATTCATTCGAGGAATCGTCTGCGTCCCCGTCCGGCCGTCTCCCTCTGGCGCTCATCTTCCGCCAGCAGCTCTCCTCCCCATCGTACTGTTCGGGGCACCCTATCCCCTGGGAAACCCCCCTCTAGTGTTGTTCCATTTGCGTGTTCTGTTGTATTTTTTTTATCGCGTGTAGATTCTTTTTTTGTTGTTGGTAAATAAACTCTACTTTGATTCAGTGTATCGATCGCGAGCGGCCCGTAACCACAGTATTTCTGGGCGCTATTATAGTGCCCAACCTAAATCTATTTCTTATATTGGACCTCTAAATTCGCGAGTCTTTCATCAGTAATTTCACAATGACTATGAAAGGTGCTCAGTGAGTTTTGTAGAGCAAACAATTCTGTTTCGAACGGTTATATTATTATCTGGAAACATGGGACCTTAGAGGGAATTTTTCCACCCAAAAAACGAAACTATCTATCGGACAACCAAATATGTGTAGTAATTCAAGGCGCTCCTTTAATTTTTATTATTTAGACAGTATTTATATGATCAGCTATTGACTACGAAACAATTGAAGATTCACCAGAACCACTGTGAGAAGGCGCCCAACTCACACACCTCCGCATTCAGTGAGGTATGAGTTCGAGAAGCATTCAGGCCCTAACTTCTGAGCAACCTAGTTGTTTTTACCTTAATTCTAATGCAAATTCAAAAATTTGCATTCAAGGAGTTCTCAGCAGAGTGCTTTCGGAAACGTTAATGTGCTTTCAACGCGTCCCTATCGTCACCTCTGCATCCGAATTTTGGGCTCTACGATCAGTGGATGAATTATGGCGTCCGTGATGGCGGCTCATCACTCGCACAATGATGTCGCCGAATGTTTTGGCAATGCATAACGAATCAAATGCCAACGGAAGCACATTCGCTGCACAGTGCGTGATTTTCCGTGAGATATTCATACGTGATATTCATAGACCCACACACGCGACACTTATTGACTTCTTTCCACTTGGGTGCTCACGGTGTTTTGGTGAAGTTTTTTTCAGCCGTAATTAATCGGCATCCAGCGCGACGAGCCTCACAGGAAGACACTCGGTTTTGAGCTCTAGTCCCGTACGGATAAACCGCGAACTTAAGGCAAGGTTATTTCTGGGAAGCGAGGCAATATGACTCAGCTGTGTAAAAATTTACCATGAAGTGATCTTCTGCTTCATTTAAAGGTGCTTTCACACAATCTCCTCTTACCATGCACTAATTAATCTTATGTGACTGTTAGCAGAACAAGTATTCGTCGGGTTCTTACCTCATTTCTGGCTTCAATGCCGAGACGTCGCTCTCTCATTCTCCACTTTTTCTGCTCCACCAATGAAAATGTGGTGGTGACCTAGTTAGTTACTCTCACAGATTTCCCAAGTTTTCCGCAAAAAATCAGTTTTTATTTCTACCAGTTGCATATATTTGTACTTCCAATCCCTTTTGAATGTTTGAGGGATGTAGCGCTTTTATTTCAGTTTTTCTTCCGAGGTGCCAATATAATACTTTAAATAGCGAATTTCTTCACTTACCAGCAGTAGATCGTAGAGAACGTGCGCGCCGAACAGTGGGTACTCGGCCGTCTCGAGGAAGGAGTTCAGCAGAAGAAACTGCAGGACTACATTGCACAGATGCAGCGACTTTATGAACACATACACCGTCGACACGTAGGCACCGTAAAATTTTCCTGGAAAAAACTGCCAGTAAAGCTTTTCGGACGTTGACAGATTATCATTTGAAAGAGAGCAATTACGAGTAAGAGAGCAACGTCATTAGCGGAAGCATATCTCCACGAATCAGTACTTGGTTGCAAGTAAGCGTGTAGTAGCGCCTTCACGACAAAAGGTGTGCTAGTTGCTGAGCAGGACTTCGAAGCACTCCGCCCCCACTAGTTCAGTTGGTGATTTGGACGAGCTGCGTTGCCAGCAGCGGCACAACTGGAGCAACTCGCATGTGGTTTGGCATGGTGCCACCAAACGCGTTGCGTGAACTCGTTCATACGTCCGCTTTCTGAGCTGTTACCTGTTCATGAGTGAAAACCAACGGCCAAAAAAGGGGTCCCGTTTTGCGTTTTCTTGACGGATTTCTCTGCTTTTTTCGCCACTGGCGTACCACTGAGCACCACCACGTCTCTCTGAACCCTTCTTGAAACTGTCACAATCGTTGCCTTCAATTATTTTATTAATGCCTTGTAATTGAAAACACTCCACATTTCTTGAGCGAACTACTAGAAGACCTTCTTCCTATCTACAGGCCCACAAAAAAAACGGACCAAGTTAGAATAATAGAAAATGTTGAGGCACTCTGACATCCGTCCTATATGATCAATTTTGGAGTTCTGCTGATGTAGAAATTATTTCTCAACTAGACAAGTATCATTCCCATTTCTCATTTACCAGTCTTAGGACTGAAAGGCGATAAAAGTTGTTGCTGGTTGAGCTTGCTTCAGGTTCCACTTTCACCACTTCAAAAATCCGCGAGGTGCTAAAAGGCGTCTCGAAGAAGTTCCCAGCTTAATGATAGTGGTTCACCTTATTTTTTTATTAAACCCTTCCTGAAAGATCTCTGAAAGTTGATCATAAAATCTCTGCTCGCATGCTTCACGCCTATCAGCCCCTCTAGAGATTATAATGTGTCTTACCTACTCGGACGACGGCAAAGATGTAAACGTTCTTCTTTCGTGCGCCATGCTCTCTTTGATACATCAAAGCATCATCTAAAAATTCGCGTGTCAGAAAGTATTATAGTTCCGCGGCTAAGTCAGACTCAAATGAGCCACTAAAAAGGAACAATTCAAATTTGAATCCTGAATATCAAAATGCACCAATATGCCTAGCTAAAATATCGATCGTCTTATTTCGAACCAATGGGTCGACATTCTGTTCCTGGCAGGCCAGCTGGAGCACCAAGCCAGCGTTGAGACCTGGAATTGAGCGGCAGAACATTCCCGGCAAAGGGCAAAGTGTCGGATGCTAATCCAAAAATGCATGAGAAAATCTATGAATTTTGACAAACCGCTTTGACTTGAGAGCATTCGCCAGACTGACGAGGGAATGTGAAACATAAGAGCGGCCACGGCCAACACGAACGGTACCCATTGGTAGTAGCCGATCTGTCGCCGTTCTCGATCGTCCAATCGATGAGGTATCAGGTCC